CAACCGAAGTGTGTAACGTTGGTGTACATGTAGTCTTGCCAAAGTGTACATGTAGGCACCTAGTAAGCACGCCGAAGAACGCCGTAATCCGCTGAAGTTATGCATGTACCAAGCACCCAGCAGGTGCTGCCGTCTCGGTACACAAACGTTACCATCTGGGATGCTGGCCTGCTGTCAGAACACTGTGTACTCCTAGAGTATCGGGCAACTTTCTATGCTCTGCTTAGCAAGGCTGTTGCTGCCATTTCTCGAGATCATGCCCCTTTTCCTTCCAATTTAAACCTGCCAAAACATTTTCGCAAATATGCGACGGCCATCTGCCGCATAATTATCAGGCAAACTTCGCCATCAGAAGTGCATTTTGGGAACGATTTTAAAGCAAAAGTCTCGCTCTACGTTACGGAGTATTGATAGGCCTTACAGGGAAGCTAGCGCAGAGCTGCGTATTGCCTCGGCTGGTTGCTAATCTCTTTTTAATCCCTAGGGTTGCAGAGGATAGATGAATTAATATCTATGCCTTCACTGTGCGGCGAGATGGCTCCGAGCCCCTGCTTGCACACCACTCTCTATCTCTTGTGATATGCTGGGTCATGCCCCGTGCAGATGACGCCCCAGTTGACCACTGCCAGACAGCACATTGAAGTCTTGCAAAGCGCAATCGGAACGTCGCAGTGCTTCGAGCAGTCGCCGTGGCTGCGTGTACTGCTGATGCCAGGGGCGGCCGATAGCTAATTAGCCGGCATGATTGCTACTGCTCCATCATCACAGCCTTGCCTGGTCTTATCGAGTGGCGCATCCGTCATTTCTCGCCAGATCACCGCCCAACACCGTCTGAGCATCATCCTGGAGACTTTTTGCACGAGGTTGGACAGTGCTCATTTGGCCTCAAGCTAGTATCGGCGCCTTCCCGTCGGTTAGGCGGAGCGATCCTTTGCTTTTGATAAGCTCGGGCATAGTCGGCATGTTGTATACAAGACTAAACTGGATAAAGTGAACTTGCCTGGACCAAGCTGTTGGTGATGAGCTCAGATACTACCTACCTCGGATTTTTCATTTGATATTTGCATCCGTGAGTGCTTCATGCTTATAGTTTGTATGGAGCTCGGGCGTTAACCGCTCCCAAGGTGTGCAGCAGCGATAGTGTCCATGGGTGATACTGGCGGGCGGGAGGATCTTCCTGCACGTTGCTGATCAGCGCACCCAATAACAGCTCCCCCTAAACTATTCTGGAAGTCTACCCCGGCACTAGCTAACCAGGGGGGCCGTCATTCGTCATGGAGGCAGATCTTCTGGAACCAGCTCCTGTCTCTTGCGCCGTTGCTTCATAAACTTCGTGCCTCGGTGACCTAGTCAGCTAGTTAATCAATAGGGACGATCACTTGGCCCAGCCCTGCCAAATTGCACATCAGTCATTGGCAGATCGAGTGGAGTGATGCTTCATGCCTAAATTCAATGCTGATCAGTTCCCGTGTGAAAAGACTGGTCGAGGGAGGCAGGCGATCTGACTATGCCAACTCCACGTCTTCATCGATACGGAATACGGCCAAGTCCACCACGGATTTGCCAAAGAAGACACAGGCAGTCCTTTGCTAGGCAACAGAGGCTTGGGGACTGTGTCCTGCTACTGTTTCACGACTTTGCTGGTAGCAATAGGCGATGGCAATAGCTCCTACAGCCACTAACGAAGCCTTGCTAACGGCGCGTGCCAAGCAGAGTTAGTTGGTGCGGAGCAAGGAGCACAGTACGGAGTGCTTCAGGTACGACGGAAGCCGTAGGAAGTTTTCGATCCTCTCGGCCATATACCAAAAATGTTTAGAAATCGACGAGTGCGCGAAGGATGCTCATTTACAGACTGAATCACTTTCCAGGCTGAATAGGCCTGGAGGTATGAGCCAGCTGGACATCAATGACGCACGGAGTGCATTCTACCATGACGATCCCTTCGGAGTCGAATTGGGACATATCATTTCTTCGAGCTCACCTTCTCGTGAAGATGTTTGTATACGAGCTGTTGAGGCGCCTCGGCTCGATTTCTTCAGCGAAAGTCTTCAAGAGGCTCACCATGAAGTATCTGATATTTCATACCCTGGGTCGGGGTTTTAACCTTCCAGAACATCTTGACATCTGTCTCATTTCAATGACCCAGATTTGCTCCACGCAGACGTGTGTCCCTTGGCAAACTTGGAATGACCCGTAATAACTGACGGCTATGAGAGCTTACCCCTTGCCAAGGGGTGCGATGCCGCTGCCATTACCATATGTAGCAGTAGGAAATTCGATCGACAGCTGTTGGAGAAAGGTCGGCCTGAGGCAATACCGTGGGTATGGCTTTTCATCTTGCAGGAGCCGAAGTCTACATGTACAGTACATATCTCGTATGAAGCAGAGGGCGTGCAGCAAGCCTTACTGTGAGAAACCGACGACCATTGAGAATGGCTAGCTGAGAGCCGAACATCGCAGCCGAACATCGCAGCCGAGGAGCTGCTACGCCGTTCCTGATGCTAGTACGCCGACACACACCAAGATACATACAAGGACTCGTATAATCCCGTACGGAGCTACTGAGGCTGTGGCCATGTTGCACTACGCTTGGGCTGAAGATGGCGTCCTTTTATCTTCTTCTACAGTCCTTTTAGGGTCGACAATATCTGTGAAGCACAACAGAGCTATAGGCAGGCAGCACGTAGTCATGACGACAGACTGCGTAGCACGAATCGTTTCAAGACGCATCGGACAGCCAGAGGCTCGAGTCGGGGAAGGATACGGCCGAGAGAAACTCAAGCATATGCGAATGCTACTCCACTGCGGAACAGAAAGGCAAATTAACCCCCCTGCCCCATTAGCCCTCCTTGATACTGGGTAGATCATGACACGCCTCTGGCCAGAACAAGGGTCTTAGCCAGTGGCGCCTGCATCTAACAGGCCTAGCTGGAGAATCACGCAACTCGATAAAAATCTACTGGCTGCTCACAGGGCTTCTGCTAGCACGACGATCATTAATTAGCCTGTACCATGAGAGCGAGGCGCACTTAGCAGCAGTGCTGGACGCCACGCCACGAGGTGATGCCCGCCCGGCGCTGGTCGCTTGAAAACCACCATATTAGCACGGGCTGTACAGTATGTTAGCGCAGGCAATGATTGGGAAGAGCCTAGAACGAAGCTAGCTGTTACTGCTGTGCTCTAGATAAAGCCGGCGCGTGCAGGAGTTCCATAAGAAAGTTTGCCGATGTCATTCTCGGACCGCCACCGCAGATTGCTTCACCGATGGGATGGGAAAATCTCCTCGCATCTTGAGGCTGTCTCGAGTGCACGAGTCGATGAAAAGGCGTGGCAACCGTGGTACTACACCAAGCATTCACGTTATAACAACGATGAAGCCGCGGATCCACTGGAATGCTGATTGCCCCTAGCTTTGGCTGCTTTCTCTCTCTCTCTCTCTCTTTCGTTTTCCTTGCTTCGCTTTTTGTTAAAAAGCGTCAGCGCATTGGATCGAGATTTCGTTGGCTGTGGTGACGCCTCGATGACGACTTTGATTATATTAGATGAACGAAGCGCCGTTACTAGTCAGGTCTCTCGATCCTAGGCGTGTCACCTTTTAACCATCATTGTCATCATACTGAGGATGTAATAAAGAAATGCAGGAGATCAACTTGGCAATCCCGTAGACAGAGGATAGTGATCCGCGGTGCCGCGAGTCGTAGATCGTCTCAAGCTGTGTTAGGTCGCTCCAAGGGGGAAATATCCGACGCGGGGCGGTTTCTCAGAGCGCCCCCGAGTTTCTTGTAGACGCCAACAAATAGTATCGCAGCTATTGCGGCTTGCTTGAACGGTAATCCGTGAAACTGACGACTGGATCGTGGACAACGCCTGATATATATGCAATACCATCCAACCTGGCATGCCATGTCCAACCTGACCATGGCTGCCGAGGCATGGTGGAAGCCCGGAAGCTACTTAATTGACATGAATCAAACTCTTCGTCCGACAGGCAGCGGGCGCTGATTTTAGCATGAGATGTTTCGTCATCCAGAAGCTGAAAACGAAGGAATTGCCAAACGAGGTTGAATGGCGCTCGGGTATGGGTCAGGGATGATATGGCCAGCGCTGGCTGCTCACATTTACATACTCTGTGCATTTCGATCCACCCAGTCCACGACGTTTGACCACACAATGATCCCTGATGACAATCCCTGGAGCTCCGTCCAAGCCACCGCTGCTGTGCTAGCATGCAATACCACCCACGCCTACGATCTCTATCCGCGGTCCCGGTCAGGGAGAATGACCAACCAGGCCCCCACCTCGGACACCCTCGTGTTGTGGCGCCAACCGCATCCTTGCTCGCTATCCTCACTCCCCCCTTTTCCCCTTGACCTGGAACATTCCCGCAGCAGTCTCCGAAAGCCTCAATGCTCTCCACACACACCCTTTGTAGTACGCCCGTTTGCACCGCTTCCCATTATTCAGGCGCTCCTCCTGTTAGACGGCCGGGCTTACAAGTTATTGGTTTTTTGGTCCCAGACTTTTCTTTGGGATGATAGCTTCTAAACAGGGGAGGGTGGCTGGCCCACTCCCAATATCTGCGATGGGTTCAAAGGCGCCGGGGGCACTTCCTAGCCTGTCGTGTGGGATACTTAATGTCGACGGAAGACAGATCTGATATGCCGCTCCACACCCAAACGCTCGAGTCTCTCTCGGTGGCTCAAGTTACTTATATAGCATCTCTAGCCCCCATCTTGGTTCCAAAGCTGAGTTTCTCTTCTCTTTTGAGTTGAAGATCTTTACGACGGGCTCCTTTTCACACTTGTTTACTCGCAAATAACTCCTAGACCACCTCCAACTTCATCTACTCTACAGTCGAAGTGGTTGACGACTCTCGATTCGGGGGACATTACGAACCATTCTCAATCCGCTCAACATTCTAAACACTCGTGTGCTACACAACAGAGCCTCGAGGCTGCACAGATCCTGATTATTCAGTTCTTCAACTACACACATACATAATGGCCCTGGTTACTTCTATGATATCTCCTTCTCACTACGGCACACAACACTCTGGATACTATCAGTCACCCCCCTCGCCCCCCATGGATGAGCCGAAGTGTTCACTGCCCTCCATCTCTAACCTCTTGGGCCTCGCCGATGCTGGCTCTATGGCGAGCGAAAGTTCATTCTCCAGCTCTCCTCGACCCTATGCCAAGGCCGAGAGCAGGCCAGCCTCTCGACATAGAGCGCTGCCACCCACACCGCCCATGTCCACAGACGCTTCATTTGACGCTCGGCGGTCTCCATCAAACAGCGTCTCCTACGCTCCATCCAGCACCTACTACGAGACCACGCCCCCTGCAGAGGCCCATGACGCACATCGTTATCGAATGGCCTCTCTGCCTGCTATCTCAACATCCGCCGCACAGCCTCCTTTGCCGCCGGCGATGGCATCTGCCCATTCTCCTGCCAGTAACTACTATCCTGCGCAGAACCTACCGCCGCCACCTCCCCCGACTTCTGGTCTCCAGTATCAGCGTCCACTACCCCTGTCGTTCCCACCGCCACCTAGCCCTCTCAGTGTAACCCCCTCTGGCGGCTACGTGTGGCAACACCACCACTATCTCAACCCATCAAACGGCATTCCATTTCCACCCTCACAAGACCGATATATCTGCCAAACTTGTAACAAAGCCTTCAGCCGGCCCAGCAGTTTGCGTATCCACAGCCATTCACACACTGGCGAGAAGCCATTCAAGTGTCCCCACGCTGGATGTGGCAAAGCTTTCAGCGTTCGGAGTAACATGAAGCGACACGAGAGAGGCTGCCACGGCTTTGACGTAGGCAAAGGGCCCATTATGCTCTCTTGAGCGTTCGAATCAAAATCTGAGAAAGAAAAACGTAATGAGAACATGACGGACTGTTCTTTTTTCTTTATTATTTTTCACACAAGGCGAATTCAGAGAAAGCATCCACATTAAATGTGGAACTGGGGAATCAGGAGATACACGAGATTACCATATCACACTGGCGGGCGGAGGCTGGGCTTGCAGTCTTGGGATGGCTTGGTCTTTTTTGGACTTTTTTTTCTTTTCTTTTGTTTATATGCGCTTGGGTCTGCATGGCGTCGGGAAACAGTTATCCTACTTGTCACATTCGGACGCGTCATGAAACGGGTTTGGTATCTCCCTAGTAGGCACAACGAATATGGCCATATGGGATCAGTCTGTATTTTTTTTTGTCTTGGGAAAATGGAAAGGCTCTGAGAAACATACAGAGCAGTGCATTAGTACGGCGTTACTCTTTCTTTATCTAGCCAAGAGCTAAGGAAACAGAGGCGGAAATCTGAAGAAATGGAAGAATTTTATGTATATAGAAACACAATCAAATCTCGCTGGAGATTATATTTTTACTACGTTTTTTTTATGAAGCCTCTCTTTTCTTTTCCCACGTCTTTCTCTCTCCCTTCTACCGAAAGTGACTGACTCGTTGATTGACATAAAAAGTTGATTGTTCCTTGTTCCTGGTGCCATCTCCCGGCGGCATGTCTCACATTTTCTCCGCCACTGAACACAGCAAAACGGTATCTGGAGCGCAATGGCTCCCTCTTGCTCTCTCACAGCAGCGTTAGTTATAATTAGTTATGCCCGATGGTTCCCCACTCCACGCCGATCAGCCTCCTTTTTGGGGATACGGCGACCTAGCACACACGGAGTTTGTATGTACCACCCAAGTCAGTTGCGGCAAGCGTCGTACATGCATCGGCTTCTTACGCGAGCTCCCTCGAGTCTGTACCACCGAAATATTGTTCTTCCCATGTCGATCCCTTTTCACCCTTTTGCTATAGTAAAGTTTCCAAACACTTCTTTTTTTTTTTTTTTGCTCTAACGAAGAAGGGAATGATGGGTATAATAGCGGGAGAAGATGGGCGGTGATCCATGGGACCGTGCGACGGCACTTGAAACGCGGGCAACCGAAGACGGGGGAAACAATTCGGATTCCACATACCCACTGCCACTGCTGCTACGGCTACTGTAACTCTTGCGGCTGTTGTGAAATATATCTACAAGTATGGAATAGTATGGGTTGCGAGACTTTGGTCCTACTGAGACGCTCGGCAATGCAGCATTGAGGGGGGTTTTTAGTGGGGTTGGTTTCGATGAGGGGAATGCAGCGAGAGCAGCGCATTCCTGTATACCTACTAGTAGTTGTACATACTGCCTAGTTGTGAGGGCAGAGTAGTGAGATTGGAGGACAGTTGAGAATACTGCTGTAGGCGGTTGAGAGTAAACCTTTGTCCGCATGCCCATGTTATACTTTTACGTGTCATATATTACTACTCCGTACCCCATACTAGTACAGTATTGCTTGTAACAGTAGAGCAACTATGGAGTATGGATGAAGGAAATGAGAGCCGAGGGCCGAGAGCCGAGAGAAAAGAGCAATAGTCTCTGTCTCTCTCTCTCTTTTACGAGCGCCGCGTAATAGAATACGACGGGGCCGTTTACGGTGGTTTAGTGTTAAATCCCGTACGAAGTAAATTGTTTAGAAAGTCCTCATATATCGCCCATCCGTTCAAAACACACAAAGCTAAAAGCTTAATTCCTTCTATTTTATTGAGTCATCATTTGTAATGGCTTATGGTAAAAAAAAAAGGGCTGCTTGCTAGCACAAAGTACGTACTGCTAGTCGTAATAGGTATTCCCTTCGTGATCCAAAAACGCTTAGTTACGACTATTGGTGAGAGATATGAATCACGACGATGCAGTGTGGACGGCGGCACATCAGCTAGGATTGAACAAACAGATGATGCGGAGAACGAATTAACACAAAGAAGAAACAGCAAGGGACCCTCTCCCAGCCAAGCGGGGAATCCTTCGAGATGCAGACATGGGTTTAAAAGGCGAAACGCAGCAAATTTACCGGCAATGTCGGCCTATGGCGCATGTATTATGTATGTGCGGTAGGGGAACCGATTCCCGACCTTTCCGAACGAGGAAATATCCGCGCGGGCTGGAGAAGGGGCAAAAAGAGAGAGAAGGAGAGAGAGAGAGATTTGCATGGGGTGTGTGAAGGAGGATGATCCTACAGGACCCCTGCTGCGGAAAGATGATGATCTCGCGACTCTAGACCACTCTTTTTTTTTTTTTTATGTGTCTGCTGTAAACGCCTTGTTATCTTTGTGTGTGATTGTGAGTGTGTGAGTGTTTTCGATGATGGAGGGGGGGAGGCTGGAGGGGGAGGGACACACTATACTCAAAAAAAAAAAGCAAAGAGGTCATCGAGATCCCTTACCAAGAAGCGAGTTACGCGGCTGCTTGCTGGGAAAGCCACCAAAGGATAACACGATACTTTTTAGCACGATCTTACATTGCCATTACTAAGGGGAAAGGAAAAAAAAACTTAGTGGCACTCCATCATCTTGGTTATCTTGTTAGTTGGTAGGTTTTACTACTTCTCAATTCTCTATACGATTTTCAGTTCACACAAGGTTACTGCGATAACTGGTACGGCAGGGCCAATGGATGCCTGCTCGTATATTATAACCTAAAGCAAGTTGAAGCGGCAGATCCTCCAACTAACGCGGGCGCGCGCCGAGAGGGAGAGAGAGATAGAGAGTGTGTGGGAGAGAAAGGCTTGGCAAGGCAACAATCTACTTAGAGTTATTTTTTTTCTTTTTTTCTTTTCCTTTTTGCCTTCCTACCCTCGCCTTTCTTTTGGCTAGGGGCGAAAAAAGGGTTCCCGACTCTCTTTGTTTTATAGTTGCTTGCATGTTTGCTTGCTGGGACTTGCATTTGCCGACGTCCCTTGCCCTGTGCTGCGCCTATCAGCTTATGTTCGTAACTGGAAGTAGGTAGTAGTAGTAGTACTGGAAGTACATAGGCGGATGTATGCATGTACAGTACAAGCAAGTATGTACAGAGGGTAACCTTCGTTCGTGCTCCATTGCTAGGCGCGGCGTTTGAGCTGACAGATGGGCTAAGCCGCCTTGAGAAGGGAACTAATCGTTTGAGCCCAGGCCCAGGCCCAGGGTGTTGGGGAAGAGCTAAATATGGAGACTTGCTACGGCCGACTGAGCTGTTTGTTAGCAGGTTAGTTTTTGTTGATTGCAGTAGAAAGCTGAGGAATAGCAGCGGGCGTTGGTAATAACGCTATGGATCATGATACGACGTTTGGGGCTGTTTGGCCTCTGTATGTTGCCGATTACATGCACTGTAGGAGCACCCATACCTGTATCAGGCAGAAACCGCTCGATATAGAAGGGGCAGCAACTTGTTAGATGAGCAACTAGGTAGCCTGGTTATATCGAGAGCCCCCTTCTGTAAGAACACCACTTCCAAGCACCTCGTAGTGGCTGGGTGTGCCAGTTCAAAATCTCAGCCGGCCCAAACCAACCACCCGCTTCTTACAGTACAGTAGTAGGTACTTGGCTTGTGTGGTAGACAACACAGAGAGGCAGCAAAAAGGCAAGGGCAAGGGGGGGTGTCCAGTCCAGACAGACTCCAGTTTTGATGTGCAACACGGATAGGCTACGCCTTAGATCGACAGAGTGCATGCGTTGGCGCCAAAAGAGAGGTCTCGGGATTGCTCCAGGTGCGCCGTCTGGGCTAACGAAATGCAGCACGAGATTGGACGGGCAGTGGCAGAGAGCGAGAAAAAGGCGAGACAGCGCAGAACTATCGATGCGGGACCAGGACAGCCCAGCCGTCATTCAGCCGCGGCTCTGCAGGGAGGCTGCAAAAGCCGAGAGCGCGAATCAGCGTGGCTAGCATAGTGCCGGGAAAGGGGACCATTCCGGGCTGATTGGCTGCAGCGCGAGGGACAGCAGAGAAAGGAAAAGAAATGAGAGAAAATCAGGCCACATCGGACGAATCAACAGGGCCGGATCTCTGTTGGAGTCGCGATGCTAGCAGGAGGAGGAGCTGTTAGCGGCACATATTCGTGCCGGACGCAGACCCGGGGTTAAGGATGTGGCTTCCGGAGCCCCATCTTTTTCCTGCATCTTGTGCTTTCTTTTTTTCTCTTGTTTCTTTTTCTTGGTGTTTTTAGCTGCTTGTGGAATCTGCGCTTCTGGCGAAAGGCTCGCTTCAGGAAACGGGCAAGTATGTGCGAGCGTCTCGATGGGCTTCGATCCTTAGCTCTGCTAGCACTGCAAGTATGCACGTAAAATTCGGGCTACTTATTCATGCAATTAATAATCTCTGGTGCCTGGGCTCGCGCCCTCCAAAACCAAACGAGGCGGCTATACCGTATTGCGCCGCCCAGATTGCAATTGCCGACGATTTGGTCAACTTGTGCTGGTTCTGTCCGTTGTGATAGAGTGATAGATAACTCGCCCAGGAGCGGTCTGACCTTTCCATCCGCGCTGCCTCAGCAGTGCAGTGGCTCCGATAGTTTCGACGAGGCGCTTATCAGCAGCAACAGGCAATCATCACGGCCATCGTCGTCATCATCGTCATCACAGTCCGAGCAACTTTGGTGCGAGCGAGCGCTGCCGTCTGCGGACCACCGCAAACACTGGCCGCTAAGCAGCGCCGTCGCACCAGGCAGGCCGCGCATCCGGAAAGTGCGGAACTTCTAGAAGTCGTGATTTGACACCACGAATCGGGGCTGCGCCAGCCAAGATGCGGCGTTGACTCGCGCGCACCGTTTGATTGCTCTCCATGGCGTCTGAGTGCCACGGGGCGCGGAGATGGTCTCTCCTGGGCCTTGTCTCGCACGTGGTGCCAGCGAGATTTGATGGGACACTTTTAGGTTTAGATGAGCCCATGCTGGCGTACCGTCAGGCTGGTAGCGCTATGGAACGGGGAGGGGGGCACGCTATTACAGCGTGTGTGCGCTACATAGATAGCCAAGCGTTTAATACGGTGATATGGTCAGACCCCTCTTATTAGTCGACGCAGATTCAGGCAGAGAGGGTGGCTCCATCCGACGACAAAGTCTGATTTCGCCTATGGCTGCTAGCAGTTGCACAGCCCAGCAATGGCGTCGAACAAACCAGTCTCTTTGCATGCTTGCTTGATTAAAGGCCCCATGCAGTGACGCTGCCAAGCGATTCACTGCACTGCATTTGCTTGATACGGAGCATGAGCCGGATGGAGACTCAAGGGAATGATACTGCCGCCGCCGCCACCAATTGATAACAAGCGAGACTTCCGAGCTGCGGCTGAACCGTTTGCTCGGAACTCGGATGCCGTGGCCAAGGCTGCCCAGAAGTCGCCTTGAGAGGAGCGTGCTTCCCCCCTTTGAGGAGGGAAAGATCTCTGGGATCGGAGGCTGAAGAAGCCAAGAGAAGCAATAGCTAGTCATATCATTAGAGTTAAATTGAAGATGAGGAATAGGATTTAAGCTCAAGGCACGGATGGGCGAGCCAGTACGCAGCAAACCAGCCCATACTATGTACAAAATCCGAACACCAACCTGAAGCCCAGGAACTCGGGGCGAGTCAAATATCAACCACCCCCCTCAGCTTCAGCCCTGACGTGCCAGCCCCCCATTCCATGGCGCCCTCCTGATGGCATCGCTAGAAAGGGGATTCCATTGCGCCTGACTCGACGAGACCATGCATGCATCGCTTCCAAGAGTTGCTAATTAGCAGTGTATACACATCACAGGATCCCCAGGCGTCGTCGGTTGGAAATAGCACTACCAACGTCGGATGATCTATCGCTATCGCAAATATCGCATAAAATACGAAGCGTCGAATCACAGCTCGCCATTTTCATTGCGGCTCTCAAAATGGGTAATCAACCACAGCTGCAAGAGAGAGAAAACTAACTAGGCAAGGGGAGT